TGGGATACTCCGTTGTAATTTTTTCCAATATTCCCGTATTCTGTCTCCCACTATGGAGTGGATGTTGAGTGGCATAGGCTATCAGTCTTGCCTGTCTATAGTAAATAAAAAGTAAGTCCTGGTAAATAATACAAAAAGATTAATCATTTGAATTTTTCACTTTTGACAAGTGAGAGTGATGTAATAATTAGGAAATAATGAAGTGAGAGTAATAGGATTTCATAAGTAAAGAGAATCATCATCAATCTAAAGTGACTTCTGATAAACCCCACCTTGGCCAGATTTCACTGCGATCATTATGAAACCAATCCAAATAAGAAAAAGAATATAGTATTCACATATTTAACATTCTTCATTCCTTCTGTCTCTGTCTCTGTCTCTGTCTCTGTCTCTGTCTCTGTCTCTGTCTCTGTCTCTGTCTCTGTCTCTGTCTCTGTCTCTCTCTGTCTCTCTCTGTCTCTCTCTGTCTCTCTCTGTCTCTCTCTGTCTCTCTCTGTCTCTCTCTGTCTCTCTCTGTCTCTCTCTGTCTCTCTCTGTCTCTCTCTCTCTCTCTCTCTCTCTCTCTCTCTCTCTCTCTCTCTCTCTCTCTCTCTCTCTCTCTCTCTCTCTCTCTCTCTCTCTCTCTCTCCTCCCCCCCCCTCCAGATTAGCTGAGTATGAATCAGAGATCCTGATTCTCAAGGAGGAATTAGCAGCTAAAGAATCAGCACTTGCGGATCTCCAGGCAGTCAACCAGGTCCTGCGAGATGAATACCAGACGCTTAACTTAGCCTTCACTGCCTTGGAAGACAAGTATAGAAAAGCACAGGTATACAAGTCATCTGTTGGGCTGTTGTTATTATTTCTTACATTATTTTGTTATTTATTGAGATTTGCAGATAGGTATGGAGACTGATGAATGTATAGATGGTAGATGGATGGATGGATATGAATAGAATAGATAATAGGTATTCTTGTGAGTGTACGAATAGCATTTGTTTTGTTCATGTGCATTCTTTTTGCATTATTGAAAGAACATTTAAGCATGGGATTTACTTCATGCTCTTCCATTAGCGATAGATTTTGATCCAGAATATTTGTCTCCTTATTTTTCAGAATATCTGTGTTTTTCTTCATTTTATGTCTTTCTTTCTTGATTAAAAAAATATATTTGATACACGTGTAACCCATTCATAAAAGGAGGTTTAAATTTAATTAAAATATTTGATATTAGCTTAAACATCTTTTTGGTATTTTGAATGCTTACTTTTAATGTGTTTATAATAAATATTTAATTGGATTGTTTTTATTGCAGGATGAAAACAGAGAGTTAATTGATCGCTGGATGGCTCAGAAGGCAAAAGACGCAGAGAAGTTGAACATGGAGAATGACACAGCACTGAAGTAAGTTATTCAGAGAGGATGACATGTAGGTTTTCAGGAGTGAATAGGTCTACAGCTGTATCATGCAAAAGGCAGAGGGCATTCAATATGTTAATTGCAAATCATCATAGGACAAGAATGTCTTATCCCTTCACAGTTATTATAATATCAAATGTAATGTCTTGGTGAAAGTTCATTCATATTCAAGAATCCTTGATTTATTTTAGCTCCAAAAAAGCCATTCCTCTGAAAGTGATGGCTGTTGGTGACTTTCCTATGAAATGTGTGTGCAAGAAAAGGGATAACACTAATGGACTGACATAATGGTATGGAGAAACAGCTACAAAGAAGACTGGTGTTTTACAAATTGATTACGCATTTCATGTGCGGGTCGGAAACAGCAGGATGTGACTGTTGAAAAGGAAGACCATCAGGGATGTTCACTGATGAAAATGGAGTGTTGAACAAGATCAGAAAGTGGTTGAGGGATACTATTAACTTGTGTTAAGAGAGATAACACAGATAATGAAGCTTTCAGCAAAGTCAGTGCTTAGGATCATAGGTAACAGATTGCTCGACAAGCTTTTTGGCAAGTCCCAATACTTTTGTACTATGATCAGTTTGTGACATGAAATGGTTTGGCATTGCACAGTTTGAATACATTCAGAATGATTTTTGGAAAGATTAATGATGGAACTCAGATTTAGGCAAACAGTATTCAAAATGTTGGCTTCAACAAAGAGCATATGTACCAATTAAATATGAAGTAGAAAGATCTAGTGCACAGGTTATGAGGAAAAGAAGTTTGGATTCGAACGTGTTATATGCAGATTACCTAGAAAGTTAGAGAACAGTAATATTCAATTTTCTGTAATACAACTCTTATCACTGGTCATTGCAGGCAGGAATAGGATCCAGAGCATGGAAATAGCATCCTCTCTGGAGCTGGTGCTTTTCTAGTCATGGCTCATGGGTATTACATTCTACACTCGTTTATCAATGGAGATAATGATGCAAAAGCCCCTTCTGAAATGCCAAATGAATTTAATCACCCTCTAAGAGTTTTGTGCACTTGAGTGAGTCTTCCCAGTCACCGGTGTCTTCAACCAAAATGCTCACGACGGCCAGTTTGCATCACCAGAGGCAGATTTTCCCATGACGGTTTGTTCATATCACCCACACCTCAAGCCAAACTTTTTCATGATGTGATGGTTATTTCATCCGGATGGTAGGGGTTAAAGGCACATATCTTGCAACAGTTGTAATGTTAAATATGCTTGTTTCCGGTTTCAGGGAACATTTAATATATCTATCTGCCATTCAGTTTCAACAGAAAGCTTCTTACCCAGGAAATAAAATTCAACTATTAAATGTCAAGACTATTTATTTGTTCCTTAGGTTTCCTCCCATGCTATTTGTGTATGTCAGAGTTAGTAAATTTTGTAGTTTGCCTAAATGTTGCATTGTTAATGAAAGCACTGTCACAGGTCACTGGTATGTTAACTAACTTTATTTGTAAGTGAAAGTAGAAGGAAAGAAGAAGGTGTTTTGATTATAGAATATAATGTACTTAACTTGTATAATGCTACTATAGCACCAACATATTTGAATATGTATGTATATTTTGTTTTTGTTTAAGGTCTGATATGGGTGTTGTAGTTTTTTAATATGTTGATGTATGGGATGATTCCATTTTAGAGGGGGTGATACCAGATTTTAATTTCTTGTAACTGTGAATCTGACATAGAAATATAGATTTTTTTTTGACAAGTTTACAGATGTAAAGAGAGTAAAAAACAGTGTCTCTTCCTTTTAGAGGTGTCAGTAGATACATCAATATATCATTTATGGTCTTCCTCTGTTTTGTATACCCTAGGGATAACTTGTGTATCTGATCATAGGTTGTAAGAACACTTTGTCATGGATTTTTTCGTGAATAATCAAGTTGAAATATCCATAGAAGATATGGGAGAGGAACTGAGCCTACATTCCCTTTCCAGGAAACGCCAGATGATGCTCGAGGAGCAGCTAAAAGAAGCAGCAAGAGAACCAAAGCAAGTTAGCTTAGAAAGCAAGTTTGCGTGTAGCCCACCTATATGTCTTACAGCCGTCCTACCTGCAAAGGCTTACCTTAGATTTGTAAGTTTGGGTTGATAAATATTCAAAATATTCTATGTTTTTACTCCACTTATTTTTCAGCAAGAGGGAAGACATTGGTATGGTATGCTTGTATTCTTTGGTGAGTGATTTATTATGATTTTAACATTAGCAAAGTGGCTTCCATACTAAGTCAATGAATAAATCTGTTTTTTTCTTTCTTTTTGCAGGATGCTCACGATGGGGAAGTTAATTCCGTCTGCTTTAGTCCTCAGGGAAAAATTGTAGCTACTGGAGGCGCTGATAGAAAGCTCAAACTCTGGGACATTAGTCGTGGTTGGTAGTGTGTGGTTCATTTGCATGCTTTTTACTAGAATTTTTCTCTTGGATTCTTCTCATAAACAAAATTTAAGCTGAGTATTTGACAAATTTGATGCAAATATAAACAAATGTGTATGTAGTTCTCTTGAAGATTAAATAAAAATGCAGCACTATGTATCTTTTGCATTTTGAAGTTGTTCATTTTCATTTGTACACTTTTGTGACTGGTGAAAGTGCCTTTGTTTGACATACCACAAATTTTTCACATTCTGTTCTTAAAAAAACACAGTATCTTTTATATTATTTGAATGAGCAGATGTACAAAATGGGTTCTTTCTGCTCTCAGAAATTTTATAATGGTATGCATATTTGAAAACCTTTAGTAGTAATCATGTTGATAGTAATTCATGTGGGCAGTTTATGAAAAATGTTTTGTTTATTCATTTATTTATTTGTGAGGCTAGAAAACTTGTAAAGACAAGATCTGACTGATAGTTTTGTGTTTCTTCCACAGCCACAGTTGAAGCGAGAGGAGTCCTTACCGGCAGCAATGCAGGTGTGACAGCCATAGACTTTGATGCCGAAGAATCGCTTATATTAGGTGCCTCCAATGACTTTGCGAGCCGAGTCTGGACTGTCATGGATCACAGATTAAGAGTGAGTGTTGGAGTTGTTTTGTTTAATGACTTTTTGTAACTGAATTTTCTAAATGATGTGTAGTGATGTATTGTATATGCAGTATTGAGGCTTGTCATATATATAAGAATCCTGATATCTTACTGTGTTAATTATGTATAGTGTTTCATGTCCTGTTAGGAAGGTGTGGTATATAGAATAGTTAGATCAAAAGAACAGATTTCATTATTAATAGTTTAACAAGTTTTCTTAGTTAAGCCTTTGTTTATCATTTTGTAGTTTTGAAAGCATGTTTCACTCAAGATTTTTTTTTTTCCAATGATGTCAATGAAAATATTTTTCCTGCCACTAATGTATTTTCCATAATTTTTTTATTTTCTTCTTTTTCTCTGTAGCACACCCTAACAGGGCATTCAGGCAAAGTCATGGCAGCCAAATTTTTGTCTGAGTCGTCCAAGGTTGTGACAGGATCCCATGACCGCACCCTCAAGATATGGGACCTCAGAAGCAGGGCATGTAAGTTCCTAGCCCTTCCAGCCTTTCCCTTCCCTTCCCTTCCCTTCCCTTCCCTTCCCTTCCCTTCCC